TGGCCCCACAAAGCCGCTCTGCTCGGCACCTGCCGCACTCACCCTCCTCACCCTGTGCTCACCCATCCTCCAGCCTTGTGCTGCCCTGGCTGGTGTGCAGACCGCTATCTACTGGGCTGGCCAGAGCTTGTCCAGGCCTGCAGCAGCAAGGGTCTGATGCCAGTGCCCCATGGCTAGGCATAACCTGGCTCTCAGTGGCAGAGCAGCCTGCCCCATCCACCCCGACCCCTGTGCCAGGACGCTGCCAGTGCTGGTCACTCACCATGGGGGCTCCTCGATGGCCAACCAGGGCTGGCTTGGGGGGCAGCTGGTTCTCCTCCATGATGCAAGGGGACGTGATTCCCATGGGAGCCAGATACAGCACGATCATCACCATGCAGTACACAAGCAGCAGAAACACCTTGAGACCTGCAGGCAGAAACAGAGAAGATAGAGGGGTGAGGTACAGAGGAATATTTTGCAGGCTGTTAGGAATAAGCCAAGGCTGCTTCACCTGGCATTAACTTATGGTTGCCCTAGGCCAGGCCTAGCATCCCCAGCTTCAGGAACATGCAGATTTATTCTTGGCCCACTACAGGTCCTTGCACCCCAACCCAGCACTTCTGCAGGACTTAGTCTGCCATCCATAGCAGCTGCAAAGCAGCGAGGGCTGAAGCTGCACCAAGGGCTGCGCATAAGAAGCGGCAACCAAGAGCAGGCATTACTACCAGACTGAGTCCTGGGGACCTGTTCCCGCTGCACCGATGCTCTCTGTGCACCATTCTGCCGTAAGTGCTGCTCAGTCGGGTGGTAGGAAGCATGGCACCAGCCAAGGAGGGAGGTGGAGACCTTGGAGGGGGATTACCTGTGTTGCGTGTGCGGTAGATGAAGCTGGCCAGGGGCCAGGCAAGGAGCGTCATTCCCCCCACAACTCCAATGTGCAGGAAGGGACCTGTTGCCTGGAAAGGCAAAGGCAGGGTGTCAGCTGGCACCAGTCCAGCCCCTGTCCCTAAAATCCTCATGCTCCAATGCCAGGGATCTGCCACTGCAGCCAGCACCGCTGGAAGAGCCACAGTGCCAGGAGGGAAGGGCAGGCTTCTGGGGGCACTGAACAGACTCCCCACTCTAGTCCAGCCACTGTTCATCACCCTGACTGCAGCTGCTCCAGGCAGGACTGCAAGAGCAGGAGGAGCACCTTGCCAGGCCAGACAGCAGAAGTTAAGGGCAGGGAATTAACGCCCATGGCACACAGCCATGCTGGGGGCTCCAGTCACCACCCTTCAGCTCATCCCCACAGGCCAGTTACTGGGTGCAGCGGGGGAGTCTCTGGTATCGAGGTGACTCACCTGCAGGGAGATACGTGCACTTCTCCACTCCTCCGCCCACTTTATTCCCAGCCCTGTGAAGGCTGCAGCCACCACCAAGGCAGTTAAGATCAGCAGGGTCTGTGGGGCAGGGCACAGGGCAGTTAGGAGAGCACACAGCATTCTGCCCTGGCAGTGCAGGCAGAGTCCTCTTCATCCCTTCCTCCTGAGCCCCTGCAAGTCCTGCGACCCCACTTCCCCCATCTGGGTTTGCAGCTGAGCTCTGTACCCCACGCTTGGAGCAAGGGAAATGTTCTCATCTCAGAGATGTGTGGCTGGGGGACTAACAGCTGCAGCCCAGCTCAGCAGTAATACACAGCCACTCAGTGGGGTCACAGCAGCCTTATGCAGCCCCAGTAGGCTGGTCACAGCTTCCCAAGGTTCAAGGGCAGCCAGGGCAGGCACCATCTTCCTGCACCCCCAGTCTCTCACCTTGTGCAGCCAGTGTAGCTTCAAGGGCTGGCCGCAAAGCTGCAAGCACAAAGCAAGGACCTGTGAGAAGAACAAGGAGATGTCAGAGCTGGGTTGTACCCCATACCTCAGCCCTCTTAAGGGCACAGGATTCAGCCACAGGAGCTCTGGCCCCCCGACGTAGGCAGGGTCTCCAGCCATGCTTGGGCTGACACAGCTCCCACAGGCCAGATGCTGCGGGCTCCACCTGGCTCTGCACAGGGCATGGCCGCCAGCCTGTGCTCAGCACAGCTCTGTACCCCCATTAGCCCAGGTGGGATCAGTGGGGCTCACCAGCAGCACAGCAGAGTAGGTGATCAGCACGGCTGTAGCTATGAGCAGGACCAGGGACCAGTCTAGCCACAACTTCCTCTGCTTGAAGATGAACCTGCCAGCAAAGGAGACAGTCAGAGGGGGAGGAGGGACATGGGCAGCAAGGCTGGACATGGGATCCTACTCACTCATTGAAGTTGTGGAAATCATTGAGGATGATGATGGCGAAGTAGAGCCACACCAGTGTGAAGAGGAAGACACAGAAGAGGAAAAGGAACCAGCTGCAGTCACACTGAAAGCCAGAGATGACAGCTATGCATATACCTGCAGGGCACCTAGCCCCTGAGACCCCTGGGGAGCACCCAGCCTGCAGCAGGGTGCACAGGGGGTCACAGCAGGCACTGGCCTCATGGGTTCAGGCACTGAACTGCCCCATGGAGAGGGAACAGAGCTCCCTGGGAGAGCTCTTTTGGCTGGACCCATGCTACAGGAAGATGGACCAGCATCTCCTACAAGCTAAAAAGCTGCTTATGCCAGGCTGGGGAGGACAGCCCCTGTGGCAGGACTGCATCCTTTCCCATGCAGCAGCCCCTGAGAGCAGGCTGGGACTTTGGATGCAGGAAGGGGCAGGGAGCCAGGTCCTGTTCCCTTCTAGCTGGGTGATCTGTGGGCTGGGCAGAGAGGGGTGCTATGCCTCAGAGCTGCCATTGCAGCAGTGAGCCTGCAGACTGCTCCTGCCTGCCCAGCCAAAACCAGGTCCAGCTTCAGGGTCTCCAGCCCCCAGCCCCATGTACATGGGGAGGTGAGGGGTGCCACAGGTGCTGAACAGTACAGCTGGCAGCCTGGACCAGCTCGTACATTCCAGGCAAGATGGGACAAGCAGTGGCACAGCCGCTCCCATGGGAGTTGAAGACCTCAGAGAATCCCAGGGCCTCACCCCTCCCAGATTACAAATTGCCGGGGACACCCCCTTCCAGCACCCCATCGGCGGGGGCCGCACCCAGCCCAGGAACCGTGCCTCCCACGTGCCTTGCCAGGCACTCAGCGCCCCAGGACTTGCCCACCATGCTCAGCCCTCAGGGAGCACAGCGCTCTGCTCCAGGCACGTGCGAACCTTGCCGCAGACACACGCTCAGCCAGGGAGGGGACGGCCATGGCTCAGCCTTGCTGCTGCCAACATGCTGCTCTATCCTTCTTGTCACCCAACGGGGACAGACAGCTCACCCTCTCACTGCTCCAGGCTAGGGCAGTCCCTGGACAGAGAGAGGGTGCCTGGTAGCACCCCAGCTCTCTTGGGGCTCAGCCCTGGGGAGCAGGACCAGTGGCAAGGGGTCAGCAGCCCAATGTCTGGGCTGAGCGCCCTAGCTAGAGCCCTTCCCCACCCCAGCCACCATTCTGAGCCTCCCATGCAGGGGCTGACCAGCCCCAGCTCAGCATCACCCGTAGTATCACCTTGGTGGTTCTCAGGCCCCTGCTCTTCTCCTTCTTGGCAGTGATCCACTGGCAGCTGTAGAGGCAGAGCAGGCAGGTGGCACAGGGGCGGCAGCAGCCAGGGGGATCTGCCATAGCGCCGGGCTGTCCCAGGCCAAAGGTCAGGTGTCCTGCAGGGGATGCACACAGTGTGTTGGCACAGACCTCCCAACACACACCACTCCCTGCCCCATGGGGATGGGGCACTGCAGCATCCTGGCTCCAGGTACCCTGGCAAGTGGTTGCCCCAGAGCCCTGGGACATAGCAGGGCTGTTGGCTGTGTCCCCAGGCAAGGCATGGTGCCAGGGAAAGCAGGAGCACAGGGTGCAGCCCAACCTGTTCACTGCCTTGGGCCCCTTTGCTCTAGGAGCCAGAGCAAGCCTGGAGCTGGCAGGGAGCAAGGCCTGCTCCCCAGCCCAGGGTTTGGCACTTTTCCTGGGAGCCAGGGACACTGTGCAGGCTCCATGGGCTGGCAGCCCCTCACCAGCCAGCTTGACACAGCCTTGCACCCAGGATCCCCAGGAGTAGCTCACCCAGCTGCAAAGACCACATAGCCCCATGCTGCAGGCTTAGGCTCCGGGCTGGGAACTACCCATCCTCCTCCCTAAGCCCACGTCCCCACTGAGGCAGCACCATCCTGGCAGCCCTCCAGCTCAGCTCGCACAGCAAAGGGTTTGGGGTCCCCAGGGGGACTGGAGGGGCTGCAGCTGAGCAGGCTCTGGATGGTTGTTGGTCCAAGCACTGCGGGGGAGTGGACAGCCAGGCTTGGTGCACGGAGACCCCTGGGGTCCAGTAGAGAGGGCCAGGACACTTTGCTGCGGTCCCCAGATTCTTGGTGCTTGGCTGGAGGAAGCAGGGAGCCCCCAACAGGGTCTCCCTTTATCCACCCTGAGAAACCCACGTTTATTACTATTTGCCCAGCTGTGGAGCTGCTCCCTCTCCTCATCCCAACCTCCCTAACAGGCCAGGCACCCCATGCAACACTATCACTCTGCAGATTAAGCCAGACTCTCACTTCACTGCGACCACTATGCCAGGCACGGGAGCCAGCCGACCACATCCTCCTAGCCCACATCCTCTCCAATATTGGGGGCAAGGGTGTGTGTAGCAATGCTGTGTCCCATCCCAACCTGGGCCCTGGAGAGGGGGAGCAGAGCTAGCACAGGCCCTCCCAGCCCCAGCCAGCCACATCAGAGTGGCTCTGCCATGCCCTGGCTGTGGCCAAGGTCAGCCTGGTCTCCCCCCATGACACACTAGCACCCCAGCACAGCACCTCACTCCCAAATACCATCTGTGTGTTGGTCTTCAGGGCTGAGGTGCAGAGTCTCCCCCAGGACCCACACAGAGCAGTGGTTGCTAAAGCACATGCAGCCAGGTACCAACCCAAGACTGGGACCCCTAACCTGCCCAGCTGGCTTCTGCAGGCTGGGGGCTAAGTCCAGCCAGGCAAGGCACAGGGGATGCTGAGCAGCACAGTAGTGCCCACATCCACTGCCCCCTCCATCTTCTAGGGACCAGATCAACAGCTGTGATCCACTCAGTGATCACACAGAAGGAGCCAGCCCTAACACAAGTGCAGGAAGCCGTGGGACCACACAGCTTCCCTCCCTGATACCCAGGTACTCTGGCTGCAGGCTCATACCCCTGCTGTCACCAGAAACAGAGGCACCACTTCCACCAGGGAGCAGCAGGCTCAGCCAGCATCTTCTAGGGACCAGATCAACAGCTGTGATCCACTCAGTGATCACACAGAAGGAGCCAGCCCTAACACAAGTGCAGGAAGCCGTGGGACCACACAGCTTCCCTCCCTGATACCCAGGTACTCTGGCTGCAGGCTCATACCCCTGCTGTCACCAGAAACAGAGGCACCACTTCCACCAGGGAGCAGCAGGCTCAGCCAGCATCCCCTGGGATTTGCTCTGTTCCCCCCCGCCCACA